GCTAAGAGAAAAGAAATAAAGGTATATATGCTAAGCCTGTGCAATCTGCTCTGACCCAATTTTGGTTCAGCTAACAATAAAGAACCTTCAAATTATTTTTAGTAGCACCATCAACAAAATAAAAGCAAGATGGACTAGGCTTAAAAGTCAAATAATTTATATAAAAACAAAGCAATTCTCTCTGCTCTATCCCTCCACACTTTTGAGTCCTGTTCTTTAGAAGCAGTTCCATACTCCTAGGTATTCTTTAGTTCCTTATCCCCAAATTTCTTTCTGAGTAACATGATTACACTCTTATATCTTCATTAAAAAGTTGTAGATATTGTTTATTGACTTATTTCTATGGAATATGAGGATTTGGGGGAAAAAAACCCCATAGGCTGAGGAATAATTAGAATGATGATACACACTAGCAGTAAGGTGATAAAGACTTAGCAAGGGGGTGGCTACAGATAAATGAAATAGAAAAGGAGTGTATAATATCAGTAAGACTTGACAGATGAGGTAATAGCAAATAAATCTGGGGAAAAGTCAAAGATAGTACCAACTTTGCTGTTATGGTAGCTAGCTATGATTCAATTTAAAAAAAATTTTAAAGAATAATAATTTTGAGAGTTAGAGATATAGTTTTTGGATTTCTTAAGCTTGAGGTAACAATCAGCCTATGATTTCAATTAGGCTAATATAGCTTAATTCCTCAATTATCTCATACGAAAAGATTTTCCTCATCTGAATTTTTATAAGTTATTGCTTGTACCACTCATTTAGTATGAATTATTAACTGTCTTATATTCTCAGTATTTCATGTGAATATATCTTATTTCCCAAAACAGATTTTGCCCTTCCAAAGAGTAAAACCAATGTTTTACACTTGTATCGCCCATATCTCACTCTCTCTGGAACTGTCAATAACTCCATACTAAGTATATTTTTTATAGCATATTGTTCAGATATCCTTTCAAAAATATAAAGGATACAAAAAAAAACTGTAATCAATATTCTAAGAGATGAATGATCAGGATGTTTCTAAGCAATAAAAAGGAACTACAAAGAATTCTTGGAAGTTAAATATACAACGGCACCAGTAAGTAATGCATTAAAAATAATTGAATGGGTGTCTGGGAGGCTCTGTCGGTTGGGCACCCAATTCTGGGTTTTGGCTCAGGTCATGATCTCCCACTTGTTGATGCGGTCCGACTTTCTGCATTGAGCTATGCCATTGACAGCATGGGGAACTGAACCTGCTTGGTCTCTCTACCCCCGACGCCGCCCCTTCCCCTGTCTTGCATACATGTGTGCATGTGGGTGTGCACTCTCTCTTTCTCTCAAAATAAATAAACATTTAAAAAAAAAGAATTGAAAGATAAAGTTGAGAAAATCTCTTAGAAAATAGAACAAATAGGGGCGCCTGGGTGGTGCAGTCGGTTAAGCGTCCAACTTCAGCCAGGTGCTATCTCATGATCCCGTGAGTTGAGCCCAGCGTCAGGCTCTGGGCTGATGCCTCAGAGCCTGGAGCGAACTCGATTCTGACCTCTCCTGCCTCTCTCTGCCCCTCCCCGTTCGCCTCTGTCTCTCTCTGTCCCAAAAATAAATAAATGTTGAAAAAAAAATTAAAAAAAAAAAAATAGGAACAAATAGATAAAATTAAAGAATAAATAAGAATTATAGAAGAAATGAAAAATTTCCAGAACTGAAGAATATAAGTTTCTACATTCACTGTGTGATCATCAAGTATGCATCCCAATAAATAAAGCAAGACCCATTCAAAACTATCAAATATTGGGGCACCTGGGTGGCTTAGTTGATTAAGCATCTGACTCTTGATCTCAGCACAGTTCTCCAACTCAGGGTCTTGATCTCAGGGTCCTGAGTTCAGGCCCTGCATTGGGCATTAAGCCTACCTAAAAACAAAAACAAAAACAAAACAAAACAAAACAACATCAAATACTGAAATGTCAGAACACCAAGAAGAAAGAGACAATCAAATACACTTCAGAGAGAAGAAATAGGTAATACACAAAGGTTCTGGAACATCAGACTACTCTATAATCATTTGGAAGCTGAAAGACAATAATCAATGACTTCAAAAGGAAGAAGTATTTCCTTTAATTTTATGTCTAGCCAAACTATAAAGGTAAAGGTAGAGTAGAGTTCTATCTCTTTTTCAGACATAGACAGTCCCTCAAAATGTGCTTCCTATGCACTCATTCTCAGGAAGCTAAAAAAGAGTATGTTCCACCAGGTCCAAGAAAGAGGAAGAAGGAGATTGAAGGAAGGAATCAACATGGAAATGAGGAGGAGGGAACTCGTAAGACAATAGTGAAGAGAAATCCCAGGATGACACGTGCAGCAGTCCTACAGAACAGTAAGTTTAGATCAGAGTAAGAGAAGTGTTTCAGGAGGGATATACCCAAGATTAAAATGGATCTGGGAGGAAACCTGATATGTGTGACTGTACGGGTAAGTCTGTGGCTGAGCTACTAGTAGGTGAAGAGTTAAGCAAATAAACAAAATGATGAGGTAATTGTTAATTCTGAGAAAAACAAGAACTTAAACCAAAGATACATATAAGCAAAAATGAGTGAGACATTTTTCAGCTTATTGTCTTCTGACATTTCTCCCTAGATGCCACTCCCCACCTCCCTTAGAAAAATAACTGTGCACATCTTCACAAACTTAAATAATTACATACAAGCATACATTTTTTACCACTGTTCATTATGTAGTTGCTGGCAACATATAGAAAAGAAAAATTGGTTCTGTTTCTATTATAAATAAATTATTAAATTATGCATGTGAGCATTTGAAACATATACCAATGAAAACTACCAGAGCAAGTTCAGGCCTATCTAAGCAGAGTCTTAAAAAAAAACTGGTGAAAGACTATTATGTGAGACATGTGTTCCATATTTTTTGGCTCTGTGGTTTCTGGCCTGTAAATGATCCAGTCATTCAATTTACTCATACACTACACCTTCATTTATTTATTTATTTTAGCGTATTATTTTTTTAAGTGGCTCCACACCCAATGTGAGGCTTGAACTCACGACCCTGAGATTAAGAGCTGCATGCTCTAAGGATTGAGCCAGCCAGGCAGCCATATAATACACCTTTAGACATCTATTTATAATCAAGGCAGCATACTAAATTCTGAATTTCCTGAAATCTCTTATATTCTCATTTACACTTAATGGCCTTAAATACTGTAAAAAGCTTGATCCAGCAGCATATACCTTGTAAACTCTACATCCAAAGTGTGGCTCGAATTACGACCCTGAGATCATGTTCTACAGACTGAGCCACCCAGGTGCCTTAGCAGTATGTGTCTTACCCTGGGTGGCTCAGTCCCTTAAGCATCTGACTCTTGGTTTTTGGCTCAGGTCATGATCTCACAGTTTATGAGTTGGAACCTCGCATTAGGCTCTGTGTTGGCAGTGTGGAATCTGCTTGCGATTCTCTCTCTACCCACCCCCCCCCGCCCCCGCCCTTCCTCTGCTTGCTCAGTCTCTCAAAATATAAATTAAAAAATTAAAAAAAATGTGAAAATAAATAAAAACGTAGGAATAAGAAAAAACAAAACAAGAAACTACTAGATAGTAAACCCAAAGAAGGTATGAGCCCTTTCTCTTATTCGCCAGTGCCACAGTTTCCAGAATGTACTTGGACTTGAGGGGTGTTAAATGAGTGAATGAAATACCAATTTGTAATTTTGTCTACCTTCTCGAATGAAAAGAGATACAGAAAGATACCGTTCCATTATATGTCAGTTATTTCTACGGCTAACCACGAAAGATGACCTGCCCTGTCATCTTTTGTATCCCCGGAGCTTAAAAAATGTTGAAAGACTGGGGCGCCGGGGTGGCGCAGTCGGTTAAGCGCCCGACTTCAGCCAGGTCACGATCTCGCGGTCCGGGAGTTCGAGCCCCGGGTCGGGCTCTGGGCTGATGGCTCGGAGCCTGGAGCCTGTTTCCGATTCTGTGTCTCCCTCTCTCTCTGCCCCTCCCCCGTTCATGCTCTGTCTCTCTCTGTCCCAAAAATAAAATAAACGTTGAAAAAAAAATTAAAAAAAATGTTGAAAGACAAAAAACAAAACAAAAAAACCAGAAAACAAAAAACAAACAAACAAAAACGGGAGGAGGGGAGAGAGGGGCGTCCTTGTGGGGAACAGGTCAGAATAGGACCCAAATCCCATTTTGTCACCAACAAAATTTGCAGCCTACTCTGTCCTCTCTGAAAATTGCACGGCCTTAAGACGAATCAATTGCAACTAGAAAACTCTTTCAGGAACAGGCACTTCCCACTCCATCAAAGTGAGGCCAAGTTGACAAAACCGCAAAGACTTGGCTAATTCAGGCAGAAGCTAATTTATTATCATTGGCCCAAAATTACCCACTTTTTTTTTCTGTGCAGGCCAGTATCCACAACCGCACTGACGCCTCAAGTAGGGCGAACGTTTTCACCAGTAGCTGGTGAGGAGCTCGGTGTTCCTCAGCCAAAACCCTGGGAGACTGGGATTTATGAGGTGTAGTAATCCAAACACCTCGAGTAGATGCGCAGCCTTTAAAAATCCGCATCTCGTAAGAAATTCCTTCAATTTTCCATCTTACAAGCGGGAAACAAATCTCCTCAGCTCTTCGGGGACGAGCTCTTTTCCAAATAACACAACCACAGGCAACTCATCATCCTGAGCCCTAGGCTGGGCCACACACACCCCAGCTCTTAAGGGTCACAACCGAAACAGTCTCTGCCCGCCTCTCCTTTAAAGAAGCCGCGCGCGGTTGGGCTGCCCTAGAGTTCAACTTCCGGCTACATAGTGAGAGGATGTTTTCCTTCTGGCCACACCTCCTAGCCACGCCCGCCACGCCCCGCCTTCCGGGAGCTAGCTCCAGCAGGCGGGCGCGTAGGAGGGGCGGGTCCGGGTAGGGGTCGCCCTCCCTCGGCGGCGCTCAGTCACTCCCCAAGCGGGCGGTAGCGCGGCGGGGCGCGCGCGCGCTCCCGGTGCCCTCCCCGTGACGTGCCTGGCCGAGGCCGCGCAAGGGCGCTGTAGCTGCCAGTGCCGCTGTCATGGCGTCCGAGGCGCTGGCTGAAGAGAACCCGCCGCGGTCTCCTTAGAGCGAGGGGCTGGCGGCTGGGCATGGAGAGCGGCCCCGAGAGCCTGCAGCCACTAGAACACGGGGTGGCCATCGGGCCAACGCCAGGGACAGGTTCTCCGCAGGAAGGGCCACCGGAGACCAGGCTCGCCGCCGGAGATGGTCCTGGAGTATGGGCGGCGGAGAGCAGAGGCGGGAATGGGCAGGGGGCGGCGGCCGCCGGGAGGAGCCTCTTGGACTCCGTTTCTCCCGCCGGCTCTCCTCAGGTTCCCAGACCCTGCAGCTCCTTTCCGGGCTTGGACTTGAAGGAGAGCGATTTGGAGAACATTGCTGCCCAGAAGGCGCCTCTGAGAGGGCAACACAAGGTGACCGCCTCGCCGGAGACCGCGGAGGCCGGAGCGGACCATGGATCGGGTCCGGCCGGAGACGCCGGCTGCCGCGCGGATTCCGCCGGCACCTGCCGGGCAGAGTTGGCGGTCGCCGGCTCCGAGGAGCCTAGCAGCGCCGGCGGCCTCAGTAGCAGTTGCAGCGACCCGAGCCCTCCTGGGGAATCGCCAAGCCTGGACTCCCTGGAGTCGTTCTCCAACCTGCATTCTTTCCCCAGTAGCTCTGAGTTTAATAGTGAGGAGGGAGCAGAGAACCGGGTCCCCGGGGAGGAGGAGGAGGGCGAGGGCGCGGCGGTGTTGCCCCGGGCTGTGCCTCTTTGCCGAGAAGAGGAGGAGGAGGGGGAGGAAGCTCAGGTACTGGCGGCCTCCAAGGAACGCTTCCCGGGACAATCTGTCTATCACATCAAGTGGATCCAGTGGAAGGAAGAGAACACACCCATCATCACTCAGAATGAGAATGGACCCTGCCCTTTGCTGGCCATCCTCAATGTTTTGCTTCTGGCCTGGAAGGTACATTTCTGCAGCTATTTCCTACAGCTTTTGGGGAGGGGGAAAACGGGGTGAAGGAGCTGCTGCATGTCAGCTGACGGTTTCCTCTTTTCTTTCCTCGTTCTCCCATGAAATTCATTCTGGGACTCTTGTCCAAAGAATATTCTTATATGTATTTTGTAAAAGAATTGCCGGCAACCTCAGGTCTCTCTAGTGTTTAAATACGAGTTCAACATTCAGTTGATGTTCTTAAAAACAAGGACTTAGAGCACCCTAAACCCTAGGATTATTTTTTTAACTGTATTTTTCTGTTTCCTTCTTACTGACTGTCACATATGCAAGAGTGAAGAACTGGGGAAAATGATCTTTAGAAGTTACTTACCATCAATCCATGATAGCAGGGAACAAGTTTTGATGGTTATGTTTAGCCGATTTTCCAACTAATACTTGCTCCATTTGGGTGTAGATACTTAAGGAAATGGTGATAGGGAAGATGTGGCCCGTTAGACAAATTCCATTTAAGGGAAAGCATTGGTCTGAGCCCAGTTACCATAACTTCTTGGTTTTCAAAGATTGTTTTCATTTTATGCATGATTTTTATTTGCCTTGTTTATTTGTTTCTGCTTAAACAGTTTGGCATTATGACTGTTATTACATTATTGCATACTAGCATCAGAACTTGTCAAGGTTAAGGGAATTAAAATTGTAATGACTCAAATAAGAAAAGATATATTCAAGGTAAAGGAACAAGAAAGGTAAGGGCCCTTCACAAGTTAAAGTATATTGAGGGGACTCAGTGTGTTGTGTATAACTGAAGTGTCTTACTCAAGCTTGCAGTTTGAGGGTGTTGAGATGCAGGATCTTATAGCACACCTCTTATTTTCTAATTGATAAGTATATCCATTGATAAACTGTTTCCTAGAAAAAAATAACCTGGATTATTCTGACCGGTTAGGAAAAAAATTAAGTAAAGGAAATAGCATATATTACGTGCCTTCATCTTCCTGTTACTAGCAAGGGCTGATGCAAAAGAAATAAGATTAGAAACCTTAGCAGTATCTGGTACATAATGGCACTCAAATGTTTGATGAAGACTGTGTCTGCTTTAGCTGGGGAGCTATTTGGGGTTGCATCATTGACTTATTAAAGGACAATGCAAGGCAATACATTATAAATACATCTATATATGTATACATCTGTTTATATCAATATAAATTTTTCAGTTGTAAACAACAGATTGAAATGTGTTAGATATTCCAAAAGGGGAAATTTTTCTTTAGTCTGTCATAGCCCCAGAGAGCTTCATGGAATTGATGGGTCTTATACCAAGCTTTTAAGGAAAAGTAAATTTGAAATAATAAGGAAATGGAATTGTGGGAGCGGGAAGGATATAAACAAAAGGGATGAAAATAGAATGGATTGTGTGTGTGCGTGCGCGTGTGTGCGTGCATGTGTGTTTATTAGCCGACAGAAATGGTAAGTTCATACTGGTGAATAATAAAAAGTAAGACTGAAAGGTGAAGAACCACTTGATGAAAGCCCTTAAATGTCAGAGTTAGACTTGATATACAGGCCAAAGACCCTAGTCTTTTTGTAGGAAGGGATAACAGTTCTTTAGATTTTCTTTTCTCTTAGTTACCAGATATCAGATATCTCTTAGATACCAGAACTACCAAAGTTCAGAGGAAGGAGCAAGTGCTGTGATCTGAAATATTTGGAGATAGATGAGCTTTGAATTGACTCTTTCAGACATGGCTTCAATGAAATGATCAAACATTTGAGTTCCTACTACGTGTGAGGTACTAGAAGTACAAAAACAAGCAAGATGCAAGTCTGCCCTCATGTAGCTCCCATTTAGTGGGGAGACACATATAAATAATTACAGTGCAATGTGATAAGTTCTAAATGTGCTTTGGAATTAGAAAAGGGTAATTGGGGATGCGTTGTGTCAGGGAAAGCTTTATAAAAGAGGTAATCTATGAACTGGATCTGAAGGATGAGTTGATAGAAGGCCTTCCAGCCAGAGGGAATAGTGTATTCAAAGCTGGTGAAGCAGAAAAAGATTTGTTCTTTTTCATGATTCCAACCTTGGTTGGAAGTGCAGAGTCAGAGGGAAGGAAATAGCATTAGCAGGAAATAAAATTGATAGTTGTGTTAGACTGTTAATGAGCAGGCGTGCTTATTAATTTGGAGGCTATTTTATAAATCTGTGGTTTTTAAGCCTCCTGTCTGCCTCCAGGCTATGGCTACACACAAACGTTACTCATCAGTAATCAGTGATTGATAGGGAGACAGATTAAGAGAAGCAGGGTCTGATAAAGCAGTTTTCTCAAAGAGAGCCAGGGGTGCTAGAGGTCAGAACTATTTTCATAATAATACTAAGCTATTATTTGCCTTTTCATTCTCATTCTTTCACAAGTGTCAGTGGAGTTTTCCAGGCTATATGATATGTGATAATATCATTGCTCTGAGAGTTAATGGAATATGTGCTTATTTATTCTTTTTAAAATTTTTCTCAATTTTCATTTCTAGTATGGTAAGTATGGGTAGATATAACCTACATAGACCAAAGCTCTTTGGGGTCCTCAATAATTTTTAGGACTGTAATAGTCTAGACACCAGAAGGTTTGAGAAAGGCTGAGGTAGAGAAAAATAGTGAATAGGGTACAAAAAGTAGCTGTCAGATTTCACTGTAAACACAAGTGGTGCTTACACTTTATATTTAGCTAATCATAGGGAACTCGACTGAGAATAATATGATGGAAGTGGTCTTGTTTGTTTGAGATTAGACTAGGGGTAAGATTGTAGTGTAGCAAGAAGTGTAGTGTAACATGAAGAATTGATGAGGATGGCCCTTTTGGATGGGGAATTCTCTGCCCCTTCTCTTTGATGAAGACAATGTTGGAGCCTAAATGATTGCTAACTGGACAAAGGAAATGAAGATGACCCCACCTTTTCTAATCTGGGTAATAGAGATTGCATCATTCAAAAGATAAAGTGTTTTCAGCTGGGAGATGTCAAAGTTTAGTTGCGTCAGGTTGGAAATGTCTGATAGTGGGACATGAAAATATAAATATTCATCATGCCTCTAGAAGCGTCGAGTGTCAGGGAAGAGGTCAAATTATAGAGAAAAACTGAATGGGGGAGTTATTGCATAGACCTAAGTATGGTAGTTTACTTACCATAAGTATGAGAATAAATGAATACTTCATTGAGAGTGGTGAGCCATAGTTCTCAATTTTTTTTTTATCATTGAGAATATGTGGGAAACTACAAATTGCCAGCTTAATTCCTCCCTGTAATTCTCCACTCCCTCTTCCATCCCATTCTCCAGTAGACAATAGCGAAAACAGAGAACAACGATTAAACTTGGTGGGGGAAAGGCAATAAGCATTAAGAGTGAGAGCGTGTAAAAGAAACCAGTATAGGCATAATGTGACATATGACTGAGAACTGGAAATAGGACAGTGTCATGATAGTAGTCTTGGAGAGAAACTGATAAAGCGGTCAGTTATCAATTGTCAAGTGCAACAGCATCAAGGAGCTATTGGAGTACAAAAGATTTTACTGAAAAAGGATGGGTGTGAGGACAAAGATGCTGAAAAGTCAGAATAATATGGACTCCTCAGAATAGGTGGTAAAGTTCTCTTCAGAGGAAAGGAGCAACAATCTCATTTTCTGAAGTAATGGAAGGAATGGGGCAAGGAAGATACAGAGACAAGGTTGTGTTAAGATAGAGAGGCAGATGGCAATTGAGGCCTCATTCTCCCATTTTGGCACAATAACAATTGACCTTATCAGCAATCGCTATTGAACCTGTCAGTAATTAGCAAGGAAAGGTTTTAAAGTTTGGAGGGGAGGATTGTATGAGAAAGGCACATTGTATTTTAAAGAAATTCTAATCTCATAGAGATTATGTCTTGGAATTTGAGGCATAAATAGAAAGTAGTAAGTAGCAATGGATAAGTTGGGGTTATGCTTTAAAAACTTGTAGTATATAAATTTTGCTTTGTTTCTGTTTCCCCAGTAGTTTTCTAATACCTGGAAATAGGAACAGAAAGAATGGCTGGTTAGGGTTATATCAGGGACTGAGCTTTCCAAGGACTGATTTGTGGAGAGTCAATGGAATTAGGGTTGAAAATGAAACAGGTGATTATGTCTTTGAAGGAAGGTGGAGTAATGAGAAAAATCAATAAACTAAACATGTTGGGAGGATTTGAGTGATTCAAAGAAAGTAAGTGCCATAGTTCTGGATGAGAAATGATAGTTAAAATTATCAAACAGTACTGTGTTGGAAATATTGGAGTTTTAGTTATAGATAGGTTGCCTTAGGACTGATGAAGAGTAGGTGATCGTTCATAATCTCTGAAATAGTTGAGCTGTGATAATCCAACAAATCAAAAAAGGAAACCTATTCATTAAATTTAATTCAGGCTCAAATTTCTATTTCTCTTTAACTGACACCAGGTAAATTTATGCTTTGGAATATGTATTCATTTTGCTTCTTTACTTTAGACTAAACTTAGTGGGTTTTTTTTACGGTTTTTCTTTAATCTTTCATCTTATCTATCAAAAACAATGCTAGGGGCACCTGGGTGGCTCAGTCAGTTAAGCAGTTAAGCATCTGACTCTTGATCACCTCAGGTCTCTCTGCTCAGGTCATGATCTCATGGTTTGAGCTGACAGCAGGGAGCCTGCTTAGGATTCTCTCTCTCCCCCCTTTTTCTGCTCCTCTCCCACGTGTGTGTGCACATGCATGCGCTCTCTCAAAATAAATAAATAAACATTAAAAAAAAAAACCCACAGTGCTATTTATAGGTGTATTTGAAGGCTATGACCCACTTATTTAGATGTGTTTCAGGGTGCCTGGCTAGCTCAGTTGGTAGAGCATGTGACTCTTGATTTCAGAATTGTGAGCTTGAACCCCACTTAAGTTATAGAAATTACTTAAAACTAAAAAAAAATGGATGTGTTTGTAAAAATTAACAAGTCAAAGATATAAAATTTAGTTTCTGATGATA